TCTCAACTTTGGTGCGGCTCAGATTAGCCGCAGTTTGCCCGTTGTTTTCCCTGCCGTGTGGCAGGGACCAATGTCTTGCTTCCAAACGGCTAGGTTGGCAGGAGCTGGGGCCAGAGATGGGAGCTCACTCCGTCATGCAGCACACTCGGGTCTCGAACTGCTGAACGACCGACCTTCCACGGCCAGCAGTTCAGCGTCTTAACCACCTGAGCCACCGCAGCTCCTAACATTAATAGCCTAGACCTCGTGAAATACAAATGGGAAGCTTGCCACTAGGGTTGCCAGATCCGCCCTGGCCACTGGTGGGGGACGGAGGGGTTAAGGGTGCCCAATCCAGGTTGGGAAACTCCTGGAAATTTGGGGATGAAGTCTGGGGAGCACAGGGACTTCAGTGGGGTACAAAGCTATTGACTCCAAGCCATCCACTTTCTCCAGGGGAACTGATCTCTGCAGCCTGGAGCTGAGCTGTAATTCTGGAGGATCCCCAGATCCCACCTGGACACTGGGATTCCTACTTGCTACTGATTCTGATTTCTTGTGTCTTTCACCATTTTTCTACTGGACAAGATTAGTGCACTGAGGACAAATGCACTGGAAGCATTCGGGGGTCATTTCCTGCAGGAGCGCACAGGAGCGGAGCTCCGGCAGTAAAGAGCCCAGGGGGCGGGCACATGCAACAAGCCCCACCCCCTGCTCCCAGCAGCCCTCAGTCAGAGCAAGAAGCAGCCAGGTAAGTTGCAGAGCCCGGCCCCCTGGTCCAAAACAGTCCAGTGACACCTTTAAGGCCAAGTTTTATTCAGGTACAAGCTCTCCCTCCTCTGCGACGGCAGATCTGCACGTTCCAACCCCCCAATAGCTAGCAATCTAAAACAGTCCAGCGGAGCCTGAGTGGTGGGTATTGCCTTCTGACACACTTCCAGTGATGTCAGGGGGTGTGGCATATGCAAATAAGTTATGCTAATGAGCTCCTGCACCTCTTTTTCTACAAAATGACCCCTGGGCAGCATACACAAGCAGTGGACATTTGGCCTCTAACAGTTCTTCAGTTAGGAACTTATATATACTCACAGAGACTACTAGCATCTTCTAAAAGTCACCTTGGCAAACAGGATGTCAGTGAAAGGTCCGTGCAGGGCCCTTTCACTGCCCAAGTGACCCAGGTGGCTATTTTGGGTGCTGACATGAGAGGAGATGACAGATGTGTCTTCAACCCGCTGTCACTTAAGGTCCAAGGTGTGCTTCTGCACTTTGCCTTGGATGCTGCTAAAGTGGCACAGGGGGACGTGTGAACATTCTCTTGTGTCCCTTGACACCTCAGATCAACCAAGAGGCAGCCTTGACCTGTGTTTGGGGCAGTTGACTAGTTTTAGCTTGCCCTGTGTCCATGTTCCTTTATATTCATGTAAATAATGGTAACCAAAATGGGGGACGGGGATCTTCTTGCTTGAACTGCTGGTTGTTCTGCAGGCAGGAGCACACTGCATTTCTTACTGGATCTCTAACGCTGAGGACCAGGGAGCAGAAACAGGTTTCCCCCTCAGGGCAGCCAATGTCCCCGAGCATTCCTTTCCCCACAGGAGTGAATGGCTACCATTCATGTATGTGAGAGAAACTAAAGGACAACACTTGATCCCGGGCAGGGCTCTTTTTGTAGCAGGAACTCCTTTGCATATTAGGCCACACACCCCTGATGTAGCCAATCCTCCAAGAGCTTACAGTGGCCCCTGTAAGAAGAGCTCTGTAAGCTCCTGGAGGATTGGCTACATTAGGGGTGTGTGGCCTAATATGCAAAGAAGCTCCTACTACAAAAAGAGCCCTAAAACGACACCCTGTACTTGTGACCAATGTTCCCTCTAAGCTGTGGGGTTTTATGAGCAAAAACTCTACTTTGTGAGCTACTGGTATTAAAACTGTGAGCAAACGATCTGCCTGCCTGCATAAATTAGTTTGCTCTGGAGCCCTCCTTCCTGAGAGCTCAGACAAAAATCTGTGAGCCGGAGGCTAAAAAAAACTGTGAGCTAGCTCACACTAACTCCGCTTAGAGGGAACACTGCCTGTTACCCCCAGCTACTGGGAATCAGCCCTGCTTCTATCTACACAGCAACTCGTTAATATTTTCAATTTGTTACGTTTGGTGCTGTTTTTCCTTCGTGTCATCTCTTTAAACCGATCCTTTTTTCACTGTTCTAAGCCATTCCGGTAAGTCCAGTGACTGAATAGTGGGATATTTTCAAGAAAAAAGATTAATTCAATAGCCCTGCCTGTTCATTCATGCCGCCCCATCCTCGGTCTTTCTAGAAGGGGAAGATGTTGGGAACTAGCTTTTATCTAGACTAGTGAGGAGGCGAGTTCTGGAGGAAGGACCGTCTGTCTCCTAAGCTCCTCTCCAAGATGAAACACAGGGAGATAGCATGGAAACCGTGTTTTAAAGAAAAGAATGAAAAAACTTACTTCCTCTCTGTTGAAGAAGAAAGTCACAGAAAGAAAGGAGAGAAGAAAAGAAGGTAATTAGTATCAAGGCAAAAAAAAGCAGATATCTTGATTCATACACGCAGGCAGCAGTCGGTGCTACGCAGGGAAGTTAAAACCATGCTGATCAAGCCGTCTGACAGAGAAAGAGATGAAACCTAATCCATCTGAGTGGCATAATTTTAGCTTTTTGAAAGGGCTCCATGTGTGCCAGGCCTCAGCTGCTGGATGAGACGGGACGTCCCATGCAGAGGGCTCATTTAAGCATGCTGTGTCTCGTCCCGGTGGAATACATGCACGGCGGTCCACTTCTGTAGTTCTAGCTAGATCCAGGTGGAGAAAACTGTTTTCTTATTAAAGCGATAGATTTCAAGAATATTTTTAGAGCTCTAGAATAATTTTTTTTAAAAAGCGTTTCCCAGGTGAAGCACGGTGGAAACTTACTCAGCCATCTTGGGATGATCAGCACCTGCAATGCACAGAGAAAGACATCATATGTACACCTGGAACTTAATTGTTTCTATGAAATGTAATTGGGCACATAAGTTTCACCAGAAAATAGATACTGGCTTGTATACATTTCCCAGCTGTGCAGCCTCCTTTGAATGGGGAAACAGTTATCAAACTCAAGCAGATTGTCAAATACACTGGAGAAACCTCTGTGGTTCAGAGTACTTCTGACTTTTAACAGTGATAGAAGTAATGCACACTCGAACTGGGCACTTTTATTACAATCTGAAACAGAAGACGAAGAGCCTGTTTTGTGACTGAGCGCTTAGGTTAGTTTTTTATTACGATCAGGGATCTCTTCC